AATGTGAGATTTCAGCCCTCCAAACCCGGGCTGAAGGTTAGTCAAGCTTCTCTATCTCGATATAGTCTGAATAAGAATTTTTTTTTGATAAATTTCAAACGTTTCATTCAATTAAGTCCTGCCCAATTCTACTTAAGAAAGCAGCATCTAAAACGTGTACTTTTTGCATGTTTTCTTGTCTCCGAAAATATGTTTTCAAACCGTTAAAAATGGTTAAAAACATTTACCTTAGCTCGATTGCGAGACCCATAAATTTCCTTCAATATTAAACTATTTAACAAAATTTGTTGCCACTGAGCGTTTATAAATACAGCTATTCAAAAAGTACGTAGCTAGCGAAATGTGTAGGTTTTATTTGGTGAAAAAACCTGTTAAAACTTAACAATCGATAAATGATTAGTTCAGGAGTTCGAGTTCCAACTGTATATAACAAGTTCTTTAACCGCAGAAATTCCAAGGGAATCCGCTCGAGTTTGTGGAAGTTTCTTCAATCCGAGTAGAACGAAAACGATTTCGAAGAAACGCGGAATAACTAGAATTGTGCGGTTTTTTTATAAAGTGAGTACTTTGCGGTGTCCGTTAACGTCCTTCGGCTGTCGCCAAGCATCAACGTCCGCATTTAAGTCAATTGGTAAAATGCTGGTGCAAAATTAAATCTCGAAAATGTAATTATTGGGAGAATTAAGAGTATATGCAAGTTTTTCGTGTGAGATCGGTTTGAAACGCCTTCCATTTTTTTGGAAATGTGAATCGGAATGAAAATAAAATGCAATAATAAATCTCACATGAGTCATCTACACGATGAGTCGTTTATAAACCGTAATTAACTAATAATGTGTTTATATACACATTCTTTCTCTAGCCGTTCTCTCATTACTGAAAATCGTGATCATTAACAGCTTGTGCTATTGGTACCTACTCTCCATTGGCTTCCATTCCGGGCTTTATTAACAGCATCGTAAAACAAACGGTCGGTGGTCTTTTAAATCTGAATTCAACTATTCAGATTATTATTGCCCCTTCGTGTAAAGTGTGTAAAAATTTTCAGGCAAACATCGTGAAGACAAATGGCAGAGTTTTGTGGATGAAAATGTTATTTTTATAGCTAACAAACGGACTAGAAAACTCCGTTTTGCGTCGTCAATAAAGTTTTTGTAAATAGCGAACAAAAGTATTGCTCCATATCTGCCTAAAAAGTAATTTTAATTATTAGGAAATTCACATTAAATTTTATTGGTGATTAAATTTCGTATACCTACTTAAGTACTTATGTTATGTAATAAATATAAATTCGCTATACTAAAATTATTCATAGCTCTAGAAGGAAAACCGTGCACATGTTTGATGTAACACGGCAAGAATTCGTCTTCTTCTGAACTGTATCAATTTGAGAACTCGAGAGTATGCGATTTTAAATAAAATTAAATTTTAAAGATATATAAAATTGTTTAACCAAATTAAATTCTAACACTCTGTATTGTGGAGAAAATGTTAATACTTCCACCAAGACCAACCAATCAAATGTCAAGAAACAGATATATAGAATATAATTATACTATAATAGTATAATTTAACAGTTTTTTTGTAATTTGTTAAGTGTGTATGTAATATTAATGTTATCGTTTTCATTTAAAAGCATAGAACAATAACTTTTTGGCTACTTGACTTTATATGCATATAAAGTTAGATATAGGCTAACACTTGCTGAAAATGTGTCTTATACTTTTTAAATAGGGAATACAATTCACAGGAAAAACAGGTTTTCCCCAAAAAAAATTCAGTAACCATAAGCTAATAATTTCGGTGAGTAGCAAATAATCACATGTTTAGGTGCAAACATTGTCTTGTTTATCTTCGGATAGATAAGGAAATTAGTAGATATCAACATCAATCCAATCATATATGTTGAGCAAAAAAATCGATACGTATGAAAATAGAGAATAAAAAACGAACAAATTGCAAGGCTAAAACAATTGCGTATGTCGGTGCAAAAATATCATCATTATTTGCGGCCTGATAAGGAAATGACTAGCGAAAATCCGTTAAATCTCATATGTATAGACACGAACTCATTCAAGGTAGGCATCGCATTTCTTGCAAGTTGTTGATCTTGAATAATCAAGAAGGTTACTAGCAACCCTCAGTTATTGTTTAAGCTGTTGTTTCTTCATTTGACATAAATAGTTTTCTCTACTAAATTTAGAAATTCTGTTTGATGTTGCTTGAGTTCACGCACAAGTCAGATTACACGTAGGTATCAAAGAATCGTAATAAATTACCTGGAATTAGCAACATCCAATTGATAACATATCTCGTTCTAAAGTTGTTTGTCAAATACGAAAATTCCTATCGATTTTTAAACCGTTTAACGATTCCCTTGATTTATCAGAAAGTATTCTACGTATTTGCTATTCACTTTCGTGGAACTTGAAAAACTTCTGGCGCATTTAATCGATCATTTTTCGATAGAAACCCAAATTTTCTTTGCAAAGTTTATTACGACAACTACTTATAAATAATCAAAGAATAATTAATGAATACGTTAAAGGACTTCGGCATAATGAATAATAGTCTAGAGAATAGTTTTTTCCTCCTCCAGTGTCATGTAAAAGCAAGAAAATTCTCAAAAGAAAAATATTAAAACTGGATGCTAGTTGGACTGTAGTAAGAAAAATTAATTAGTGCACATTGTAAATTTATTAGAAAAATGCTTATTAGATAAAACAGTAAAGATGCAATTTGCCGAATTTTCATCAGCAAAAGGATGGATTTTGATCATTTATTGGTGATTTCTTTCTTAAACAATACTACAATTGCAGTTCATAAAAACTGTAAAAATTCACTGCTTGATGATTCATTTTCTCTGAATTGCCAACTTTGCTATTTCGACAATAAACACATTTTTAAGAATTAGATTTCTAATAATTGTAACTTGTCCAGTTTCGTTCAATTATGTTTTATCCAACATTTCCAGATAAAAAGTACAATGTCCAACATTCATAATATTATAATCAGTATCAATAACTCGATTATGTTTCTGTTCTACCTGAAAATAGCCTGGATTGCTATTGAATATACGTTGCTTTTTTTGAAGTTAACTCAAGTTCTTGTATGTTAAAACATACAAATATTGCTGGACATTTTTTCTTGTGAATATACAGTGTACCAGTCTACCATGTTGTAAAATATCGATAAAATTGTCAGTGAGATCGAAAGAGGAATGTGAGGGATATGATTTCTCTTTGTAAGTTAATGTACAGTTTACGTACAATCCGTTTAACTAGAAACTCTTACGGATTTGATCAGTTTAACTCCTTGTTTAGAACCATCCATCATTGAAGCAAAAAAAATCCGTATAATTTATACACTTGAAATGGAGAATTTATAAATTTTAAAATTCTTCAGAGCGAAGAGCGAATTTTCCAAATAATTTTTTGTAAACTTTTGCTCTCTGGTCGTTTTCTTCAAGATAATCTTAATTACTTTTGAAAAAAAGTACATAAAATTATTTGGTTTTTGTGAGAAATTCGAAGCTCAAAAGGGCTTTCTAAAATGTTCTGCAACGCGATGCATGAGGCCAATTTTCTAACAAACTTAATTGCGTCGTTTTTGGCTGAAAAGACCCCATGGTTGTCGGAAACGCAGAAAAGCGCCAGAAAATAATGGATTTTTTGCGCTTTAGATTGAAAACTTTTAGTTTCGTGATCGATTTTCCAGAACTGTTTGTCCCGAATTCGACGCTGAAAAAGGTTTTTGTAAAATTCCTTCAACTATAAATTTATCTTGTAATTTTTCGCTTAAAATACCTCCAGATTGTCAGTATTTTTAAGTGAAACTCTATAAAATAGAGCGTTTTTTAGTATAAAGTCAAGGAAAAAAATCGATCAAAACTAAAAATCCACAGTTTTTAAACCAACTCTACAGTCTTCAGAGGGATGGGGGTGATGAGTTTTTAAAACTCTGTTATATTTTGTGTCTTTTATTTTTTGTATTCTGCTTTTTCATAAAAAAATTAGTTGATTTTTGTCTTACATTTGAAGCTGGAAAAGGATTTCAATACTTTTTATGAAACGATGAAGGAGGCGAGTGCTGCGAAGTGAGGCGAAGGAAAAATTTTTCGCGGAAAATATCCTTAAATTGTCAGTATTTTTATGTGAAACAGTAGAAAACTGAGCGATTAGAAGAAACAGTAACTTTGCTAAAAGTGGAAAATTCTGAAAATTTGAGAAACTAAAAATATTGTTAATAAATGGCCCTTGAAATAAATCGAAGAACAACTTAACAAAAAAGCCAATTGCTGATGAACAATATTTTACAGTACAAATTAAGTAATGCTTACAGTTACTGTAATTGCGTATTTGGAAAAAACACGGTTCTATATATTTTTTTAGAAAAATTACAGCGTATTTGTATTATAGCAATGTCGAACATTCATAAAATTTACCTTTCATATGTAGACTAAATAAGTCCAATATTCATTGTTTATCAGAGGCAAATTGATTATTCTAAAAAAGTAAAAGCGAAGTTGTATAAAGAAGTGAAAATGTTTGAAACTGAGTCATACTTAACGCAGTACTTATACGAAACGATTAAGAGCGTATTAAGTGTTTGCAGGGCAAGGCTTTATTTGGAGTTTTTGTCAATAGCTACGTAGAACTGACGCCAAATTTGAATCACCCTGTATCCTTTAGGCCAGAAACAATTTTTTAAATGTTGTAATGACGAACATCGTCATTTGATACAGTACTCAAGTAGAGTTGCTTGAATTTTCGAAAAATGCCTCACATTCATGATGTAAATATGCAATATAATACCCTGATAAATGTATTTATATGCCTCCTATCTACATTGTTCCTTATCTCTGCACTTATCACGGTTTCAAGCTTTTAATGATTCATGTTTATGGCGACTCGACCGAAAAAAAATTGTAACTAATAACATGTTTCATATTGTGTACAATTGTTGGTGGTTTAAATTTACAGTGTTGTATTTGTTTGCAGGTCACACGTCGTGATGGACAAGAGCATCGATAACTACCTGCATAAGAAGTTCAAGAAACAATTGAGCATTGATACGAATGCGTATCAGCAAAATGACAAAGAGAATAAGAACTCTTTGCGAGGCTTGGAGCAGAGTGAGGAAAAAACGGCAGCCCATCGATCCAGTCCAGTCAAAGACAATAATAGATCAACTGTGCCAAATGAAAGTACAAACAGTCAAAATCACAATAGTCGTATGCCCGTAGCAAGCGCTCCTGAACTGTCTAAGTCTTCCATATCAAATGAAAGTGGGAACTCCAAACCGTGCATATCAAATGAACATGAAGAGATTCGTTGTAGATCGTTTAGTTTTGATACGCCATTTAGACTCAGCGAAACGACCAAAATTAGTAGTAATTTGCCTTCTAGTGCAACCGACTATTCGTATTATAGTCAAAATCAGGATAACAGAATTACTCCACCTCCGCCTCAGGAAGACGGTCTGTCTAAGGATGAATTTAAAAGTGAAGAAAGTGCGACGATGCCGGAGAAAACACCAAATGGAAAGTACGTCTGTCCCTATTGCAACTTGGTATGCTCCAAACCTAGTGTCTTACAGAAACACATTAGGGCCCATACGAATGAACGACCTTATCCTTGCACGAGTTGTGGATTCAGCTTTAAAACGCGGTCGAACTTATATAAACATTGCAGATCCCGAACGCACGCTAATCGCGTAATGGGGGTAAAAGCTCAAGAAAACTCAGGCGAATTGGATGGAAAGCAAAACTATACCGACAATGCTACACAAACTCAAAACAATTCCACGAACGAAGAAGCGTATTCGGAAAGGTGCCAGAAGCCATACAAGCCCCGATTCCATACAGTGCAACCGGTTGAGGAGGATGATAAGGCTTTTAGAGGGACCGACTTATCCCATCACATTAACGAGATTATCAACAAAAACAACTCAATAGTAAATTCTAGCGATCCAAACCTATTGAAGAGGCGATTTGGGGAAGCTTTGATTGACACTGGTAACAACAATGAGTATATTTCCAGAAGCCCCACATACAGCATGGAATCAAAACCAGATGAGCCGTTAAATTTGACTAATAAAAATCGGAAGCGAAGCATGAGCGAAATAGCTGAACCAGTGATGCAGAAAAGTTTGATAAAAGAGCTTTTACAGAAACATCTCTATTCCGACATGCATTGTCCGTATTGCAAAATGATCTTCCAAACGGTGACCGAGCTGGAGCTGCATAAGATGAGGAGCTGCAAAGGCAAACCATCCGAAGCCAAATACACGCGGAGTAGTTCCGTGAACGTGGCTTCGATATTAACGAAAAACAAAAACGCTTTTGACAACATTCCACAGTTTCAAAACAGCGTTTTTCCTTTGAATTCTCCTGGCCCGTTTCTGGGAAAAACTCGTCTAGTTGAAAGTGATAAGAGCAAGTCTTTTTCCTTCGATGCCGTAAACTTGCCGGTGTCCGTCACTAATGAGCCATCGCCAAAATTAGTGCTTTCCCCAGTACATTTGCAAGAGGAGCGAAAGCCTTACATCAAGTTGTTTGGAGGAGAAGTGAAAATTCACGATAGTTCGGGGGAGATCAAGAGCTATATATTTGACAGTATAGACTCCAGGCGATCATCGAAAGCCAGTTATTCCGAGTTGGATGCGAAAGTTATTGAGAGCAGAGTTGTGAAATCTTGTCTGCAATCGGGCGGTACAATTCTCACAAATAAGTCGCCAAACGAGAAGCTGAAATCGTGGGATATGATTCGGGTATACGATAATGCATCTGCTTCTTCCAATGTTGATGGGATGGGCGTGGGGAAGCTACAATCTGCTTTTGATACTGAAAATGATGGTTACCATAGCGAGGTCAACCAATCATCTGCACGGTCCTCACTAGCGGTTTCAACAAGTGAACCAAAAAGTTATCCCAACATCACGGATTTCAGCAAGAACGCTCTCAAGCTGCTCACTCCGAATTTGAAACACCCACATCTTCACATTTCCGGAATTCTTCCTCAGAACATCGCCCTGACACATCATTTGCCTGCATCTAAACAGAAGCATGACTTGGAGGATAACCCTTCTTCGAACATATCAGTGGACTCTGATAAGGAGGCCAGAGGCCCGTGCCAGCCGGTGAAAAGATCTGGGGTGATACAGAAAAATAATCAGACTTCTGCTAGCAACATTTATAACCCAATGAATTTACTGGTAAATGGAAAAGTCGTCCGGTATGTACCTGGCATGCCCGGGCCTGTAGCAGCTGAAGAACCCTTGGAAATTATGTATGGTAGCAACATAGTGGCTGTGAGTAAGTCGCCTAGGGAAGCGCTGTCACCCATGCAACCTCCGTTTGCAGTTGCAACCAATCAGCCTTCTCGGTCTAGTCCAATCATCGTTCAAAAAGCCATCACACCCATCATTGAAAAAGCACATCCACAGCGGCAGGAATATATGGATTCCAAATCGATTGTCTCCTCCTCGAAAGTTGCGGAATCAACATCACTATCCACACTAAAAGTTTTCAGCGAACGGCAAAGATCTCCGGAAAAAGTGCACGAACTAAAGCCACCATCCATGGAAATATCCAGCGAGCCCAAGAAATTTATTCGGCCAAACAGCTTGCCGCTCAAGCCCACAACAGCATCTTTGAAGCAACATCACGGTCTCACGCCGACCATCTTCAACCAAATCCTCATCAGTCCAGACACGCCCCGTGTAGCAAAGAAATACGCTCATCAGTTGTTCAATGGAAACTACTTCAGCTATTTAGGATTGAAAAGTTCCACTAAACCGGTATACTGCACCTTGAACAAGACGCAGCCGTTTTATGTGCCTCATTTTAAAAAGCTCAGCATGTATTCGGAATGGAGACAACAGGACACGAAGGTGGACAAAATGTACGTCAGTTCATATGACTCAAGGCAGAGGAACCAACGATTTACTACAGCAGGGAAGACTGACGCCAATTTGATCATCCATTCTAGTTATAAGGTGAGTTAAATTTTTGGTGAAGATTTGTGGTATGCCAACAAACTTGGCACGAACGCAAACTTTTCGGGTGTTTTTGTGCTTTGGTTGAACAGTTATGGATCTAAAGAATGATTCTGATTCAACTAGCAGGATTATTCAATGGCATTAGCGCAAGAAACATTCATATTAGTAGGTTCTAACTGACAATACTGAACGGTTAGGAAAAGTTCCCTTTTGGAAAAGGTTTTTCAATCTCAAACTGGCTGCTCTAAAATGCACTGAAACAGGACTTACAGTCGAAGAAAATGAAATGTTAAGATACCAAATGAATGATTTTGATTAATATCTCTTTAATATTAAAAAATGTTTTCCAGAAAAGATGGTAGTGGCTTACATACTAAAGTGGTAGTTCATTATTTTCTGACTTCTCTTTAATATGTGATTATTCAACAAAAGTACTTATTCATAATCGCATCTTCAAGTGTTCAGCGTTTAACGTAATTTATGAAAAGCGTTTAACGTATTTAACGTATTTTCCTGAGCGTGTCACAGAGGGCTCCGTTGTTATAAACAACGACAATGAATCCACAAAATAAATAAACCTATGAAGAGATTAAATAGCATAAACAATATACATACAGAATGGCCCACTTTTTTCGAGACTTGATTTCACGAGGAAACGAATACGTATTTCCATTCTAACTTTAAGTAACTAATAATTTTAAGCGGGCCACATTTTTCAATTATATTTTTTGTGCAATAATAAAATGTTACACTAGAATATATAATATACACTAAAAAATATAGAAAATTTAACCTTTTTTGATACAATGTGGAAAAATGTGGGCAAATTTAAAAAAATTGTAGTACCGCATCCGTAGTTATTCACGTTGCATATTTTATGACCTTAATGAAAGGACCCCATTACTACATTTAATTTCAATATAAATTTATGCAGGATGGCCGAAAAATTTTGTTGCAAAGTATTTCTCATCCAATTTTTGTACTAACTAACTTGTGTTCGTCTTCTTGTGAGGTAAAGCCTCGAGTGAAGCGGGCCACCCTGTACGAGTAGCAATGTAATTTTAAGAAGAGTTTTATGAGAAACAGATATTGTTCATAAAAACCTGAATGTTCTAAAACCCAAAAGACAGCCAGCCATAGATATTCCTGATTTTCTCAGCGCAGCGTCAAACGTACATTTCTTTGATAACATCGAACACCCATCATAAAAAGTTGATCAGAATTGAAAAGTGCGTGCTGGTGCGAAAATAGGAAAAGCAAGTTTAATATATAAAAAACCAGACATTCGTTCATTGTCGAAACTGAACTAATAAAATTATTTGCAAAAATGAATTTCACGATAGATCAATAAAATTGCATGTTTGAATGTACTTTTCAATTTTGCTCAACTATTCTTACGCCAATTTTCGTTAGCCCATTTCAACACCAATCTTTCCGCTCTGATGTTCCAACAGAAATTTATAACTTCTAAAGAGATACGAGCAAAAATGTGAAATTTTCCAGAGTCCTCGAAGTTAAAACCGCCCATAACTCCGAAACGGTTGAAAAAAACCCGTCATTCATCAGAACCTTTTCTAGAGCCCATTTCAACACGAATCTTTCCATAATGATGTTGCATGACAAAATTTCCCGAATCTAAGGAGATATGAGCAAAAATGTCCAATTTTCCACAGCCTTCGAAGTTAAAACTGCCAATAACCCTGAAACGGTTGAAAACATTCCGAACCTTTTCTTCTGAAAGAAACTTCGTAACCAACTGCAAAAAGTGAATATCTGATAGCTATCTTTTGAGTTTTAGCAACTGCAGAACTTTGTATGCAGAAAAACTTGTTTTTATATGACTACGCCCTGAGTATACAAACTTAATTATTGAATTAAATGTATTTAATCGTAATTCAGTTCTCGTTCAGTAATATTGAGATTTTCTGAAAACACAATTGTATAAATGAACTCAGTTACTAAAAACGTATCAGAAATTTGGAAACAATAATTTTTTCATGGTATTTGAAGAACTTGAAAATGTCCAAGTTACAAATTTCGGAATCAATATATGAAAAGACCAGAAAAATACGCTGTCCTTCAAGAAGCTTTCAATAGAGAACTGGAATGGATTGTTCTATGATGGTAGTGATATACACAGATGTTTAATTACTTATCTACTTGGACGGCAAAAAATTAGAAAAAGTACCTAGTATTGCCACCGAAAAATTACAAATTTAATGAACAATGCTGTAGCTAGGTCACAATATCACTCCTATAATGGGAAAAATCCAACGTTTTAACGTTTTTTTTGGCATCGAAGAATTTAACGAAAACTAGGAAAACTTTAATAAATTGAATTCTACGCGAGGACAATCAAAAACGACGATTGATTAACAGAAGTAGAAGCACTTTAGCAATATTTTAGAATGTCTTAGAATATTTTAGAATAATCTCTTCATGACTTTCATTAAGTTTTAAGCAATTATGTTAGTTTTGATTTTTCAATCATCATATTCGATTCCTTCTTTGTTTTTAACACCGATTCAGCCAAGTTTCTGTAAATACTGGACTAAAGTTCTGACTTGAACGAGAAGCTTTTCGAAAAAATGTTCATTGCTCGAGTAAAACTCGAAATGCAGGCTGCCTTTAAATATGTGGTTTTATGAAATTTCAGTTTGTCGCAACTGAAGTGTCATCCAAGAACGACAAAGATGACGAAAGTCTAAGAACTAGCATGATTGGCGGGTATGAATGCAATGAGGAGTCGCCATATGTTCGAGGAAGAGGTAAGTGGGAAATTCTTGTTGACTTAAAAATATTTGTTGCCATTAACTTACCATAATCCTGACTATCTAAAAATTCTACTTACCTTACGTTAAGCAAAACCAATTTGAACACCTTTTAACTGCACTGTAAAATCGATCTTTGCAAGGCCGTCTAAACGGCTTTGTTATCGTATAAATTGCAACTTTTTGCTATGTTTATTTCATAACTTTTACTTTGCTAACAATTACCAAAGTAAATTAGAGCAGCAAATAGTGAAAAATTTCCGCGAATTGGTGAGAGTTAACGATAAAAATCAACTTAGTTTAATTGGTTTTTTATCATTAGTCCCGATATTTTATGTAGTTTAAGGCAAGTTTTGTCTTCTTCAGGCCGAGGACGTTTCGTATGTGATCAATGCGGGATCCGATGCAAGAAACCCTCAATGCTTAAAAAGCATATAAGAACCCATTCAAATGATCGTCCGTATTCATGCAGTCACTGCAATTTCAGGTAATATACTTTAAATTAAAATAGTAACCTTTTGGAATTTAAATTCAGAACGTCTTTATGTAGCTTTAAAACGAAAGGAAATTTAACCAAACACTTGAAAAGCAAAGCGCACACCAAAAACTATTCGGCCACAAGCAGCGGATCTGGATCGTCCACCAGACTCAGCATGTCACAGAGTTCAGAATCAGATACCGATGATAGTGGAATGGACAGCAGTGGTGAGTCATTTCGCTCACTATTTCAACAGTTCTCTTACATAGTTTTCTTCTTAAGATGAATCAATGACCAGGCAACAGGAGCATGAAGCGGCCTATGGATTACTGTCTTTGTCTCAAAAAACAGCAGTTGGGGCTTCCTCGACTGAAATAATGAGTCCTTCAGGAATCATTCGAACTGCCAGTCCAGCGTCTTCCGCCGACCAATTTATGACCACTGAGGAAGTCGCCTATGTATCCAAGACAAATTATGCGAAAAACAAAATCCTGGACAATCTAAAGTACAATTTGCCTAATAAGCAAATTACTGATAACATTTCACCGAACGAGGGCGTTACTAAAGAAGACAAAAAACTAGCCAGTTACCTAGGGAAAACAGATACTGCTAGACCGTTAACTTATCCATACACAAGCTGTTTGACTTTGCCGAGCCCCGTAACGGAAGCAAAACCAGCGCCTGCAAAGGAAAGGGCAGAATTTCCACCAAAAAGCATAGGGCAATTTGACGTGATTCAAAAATACGCAAAAACTGCTCTGGAATCAAACAATGAGAAAGTGGAAAAAAGTAGCAGTTCTAGCTACTTGCCAAGTCCGGTACCTACATTGAAAGTGAATGATGTAGAAATACAGGATTTGCTTCAAGAACGGAAACGGAAAAATACAGTGATCGAAACTACCTATAAAGCTAAGATGCATAAGAACGACGAGGTGATGGATTTATCAGTTGCTTCCAGTGAGAAAAGGGAGTCGTCTAGTATTTCCAGGTTAGATTATACATAATTTTAATTTTGTTTCTTACTCTATTGCTTTGTGGTAGCATGCATTCATGATAAACTCCGTTTCTGATACTGTCTATGCAAGTTTTGCGCCTTGCGGTTTCTTATACTGCGACATTTTTTTTTAAATCACTATCAGTATCTCAACTATCTTCTGATGGTATGAAAAGATGATTCCTAATGAATTATACATTTTAGACTAATTGTTGATCGTCAACTCACCTACGACCAATCACCTACGGACGATTACAGTCCGGATACGAGAATGCTTTACTACAGTCAGTCTCCAGATGAAAAGCACCGAACAGTTGAGGAACTGAATTATCGAAACGCAGACTCGACGCGGAAAGTGCTTAATCCACCATCCGGTTCAGTTGGTTTACTGAATACAGACACAAGCTACAGTCAAGACGTAGAGATGCATAGTAACAGTAGTAGCGACACTACGCGACATATGGAGTATGATAATAGCGCGATGGAAACTCTGGCCGATGTTGCTACTAAACAGGAAAAGCTAGATAAAAACATTCTAGCCAAGAATGTGGCTTCTCAATACTTGAAATTGGCTACCCAAAATGAGAATATGGACTGCAGGAGGGATTCGAGCAACAGCTTTATTCCCAACAAGGATGTTATGAATGATTTAATCTCCAATTCGGAGGGGAACAAGAGCTGCACGATTTGTTCGAAGAGCTTTATCAAACCGTTTCAGCTAAGGTAAAGCAAGCGAGCTCTGTTGATAATAATTTCCTATCATTGAATGTAATGGTTTTATAGACTTCACATGAATATCCACTACTTGGAAAGGCCATTTCGCTGTGATACCTGCTCAGTTAGCTTTCGAACTAAAGGGCATCTACAAAAACACGAAAGAAGTGCTAGTCATTATAGTAAGGTAAGTCAGCTAAACTGTATTACTTTCGACTTATTCGGTAATCATATGGATGTACTCATTTAATGAATCTGTTTACGATCTCGAGCCTGTAAGTAAAGCGTTGGTTGGCTAAATTTATTAAAAATGTTCCAATCAACAGCTTGCTACTGGACGATTGATGATTAATGAAAATATTATTTCTGACAGTTTAGTGTAGATCTTTTTAAACGAATCAGAATCACACCAAATGGGAGACAAATAATTTTCACAAAGTTAACGTTTTATGCATTTATCTGTAATTGTTTACTAAAACCGTGTTGGAATGTCACCTCAATATAAAAGGTGATTCAAAATTGGCATCATTCCTCTGGAGGAGTTTCAATACCGATAGTACATAAAGGAAGCACAGAAAAATGTTTCCTCGCCAAAAGCAAATTCGTACATTGCGTTACTTTATTTGCCCTCATCTGCAAGCTACTTTTTTATGAATTTTTCATAAACCAAAAAACGTGGGGAATGGCCTCCGATTTAACGATTTATGTTATTAAGAAAATCGTTATCGGACAGTTAGTTCTCTTCAGCTTGCAGTTGATTCTTTCTCAGTTTTGCATATCTTGATGGATTTAGTGTTTTTATTCCTTCTTGTTCATGATTAGTCTAGCATTTTATCTGTCCCGACTAACCAATTTAAGGGTTTGCTCTCTGAAGGATGTGAACGGTTTCGATACGGATTTCAATTGCTAAAGTTCTCGTAGTGCAGCTTTGGTACCAGAAATGAACAGAAAAAGCTCTTAAAGTGAAGGCAAAGTTTCCACCCCGGCCTAAAACTGCACAGTTCGCGTAGGATCCAGCCTTGGTGTGATTTAATTGCCTTCTAGATGTTCTAGCTCGTCTTCAAACTTTCACCTGATACGGAATTCGTAGTTTAAAAGGTCTCTTTGTCTGGGGCAAGTTTTACACAAATGCACTCTAACGCCAGTAATTATTTGCATAGTAATTTTTCATCAAAAATATGGACAAATCGTCATTTTTTCGTGTGGAAATGTGCGTAAATTTAAACAGTTTTACAAGGTTTTATTTGTAAAACTTAACTACACTAATAGTTTTTTTTACCCACACCAAATAACCACTCACTGCTTCAAAATATAGCTTAATCGCAAAGTTGAAAGCGCTACTTCAGAAAATAAACTCAACCGTTTCTACCATAAGACTCAATTAAGACCCAGTAATGCTCTAAAAAGATTTACGCCAATTTTGCGTTACACAGTTCTAAAAATTATTCTTTTTCAGTTGTCTTCTTCCCCCGCGCAGTCCTCATCAGAACCAAGGCCTTTCAAGTGTTCGGATTGCAGTATAGCTTTTCGTATTCACGGACATTTAGCCAAGCATTTGCGATCCAAAATGCACATCATGAAACTTGAATGTCTGGCCAAAATTCCTTTTGGTTTGTATGCCGAACTTGAACGTTCCAACAGTCTTCTTACCGAAATCAACACTAGTGACGGGGACCAATGTTTAGAGAGTTTAAAGGTAATTACGTTCATATATTCATTTTATTGGTGTCTTCTGCATTGTTTTCCATATTCGCAGCCCTTAAATTTGTTTGATTTGAAGTTTATTCCTTCTGTATTCTGATTCGTAATAATTAAATCAAGAGTGGCATAGCTGCCTACTGTTGTTTGATATTGAGTGTTAAGAATTATGAAAAGAATATATTTTTTTATTGTTATGCGTATGGTTTTTTAATTATGAAAGGACTAAAAACCATCGATTTTTTTACGACTTGACGATTTACACGGATTCAAACTGTTCGATGAGTCCAAGGGAGTTTCTTGTGTTACCAGTTTTTAAAGTAAATTCTTTCAGTATCAACTATCTCAATTTGAACCAAATTAAATGAATAAGACTTATTTTAACTGTATAACATACGTTTGAAAACATTTTTGAAAAATCTTAAAAATGAAAAAGTTACATCAGCTTTTCGCAAAGTAAGTCCACGATTCTGTCCAACTTAAAGAATGTGTTTAACTTGTTTAAAGTTAAAAAATATTAAATAAAACTAGTTTTATAATGGCTTTGATATTCAGGATTAAACAATAACAATTTTCTCCATTGAGAATTCTATAAATCGAAGAAAAGTTGAACATTGTGAACACTTCATACGAATCAGATTAGCAAACTTTAAAGAAATTGTTTTACTTGTCAGTACAGTATGTGCAGCTTTCAATATCTTATCGTATTTGAATAAGTGTATATTTATTGCGTCGTTCACCTTGTTACTAATTTTTAAACGCAGATTGTATAAATGCATATTACATAAAGTATTTAATAAATCATAAAACATCGATTCAAATGTATTATGGTTAACTCTCATTGCACGTAACTACTGTTATATAACTTGCAAACATTCTCACCAGCCTGTTGTTTTCTTGCAGACTTTAGCCAAGAAAGTGTTTATCAATGACCCTGGTAAATTGCAGACGGTAATCAGTGAGGTGGAGGCAGGATCACACTTAGACCTAAATAGTTAACTTAAATATTTATAAATGATAACTGCTATTTTTATGCATTAAGACTGAACAACAGAACTTATTCTTTAGATGAAATTTATTCAATGTAGAGTGAGCGACAAATCTATTGCATGTAATTATTTAAAAATAAGGTGTCTACTTTTCGCAAAATCGCCCAGACCTGTATAAAAAATATAAAAAACGGCGTTACTATTTAAAAAAACAGGCATAACTTTTTTGGGTTACCCTGTATAAATAAAAATTGGATCAAAAAATGTGCAATTAAAAACAAAAATCGTTGTTTGATGAGTGATTTTACGAAAACTAAACACCTGATTTTTAAATAAGTATGCAATTTTCATTTGACGCTCTGGTGTGCATTACATGAATTTTATGTGGTTTAGCAATGATCATTGCTTATTTTATAAAATCTATTTATTAGTATCAGAGTTTCAAACACTACATAATCTGATTTAACTGTTAGTGCCAATTTTAGTAGTACTAAATTTAGTGCCAGATTGTACCTTTCATTACTGTTAAAAAAACATATGTTTTTAGTTAACTTAAAGAATTTCGATTTAGTTTAGCTTAATTTAGTTGTAACGTCATCGAACTGTAGTAGAAAAGAAAGACCGTTTTACTTTATCAATTATAAATTCTCTTGTGTCAAACGTTTTATTGTGATAATGTGATACATCTTTGATATAAAAAATAATACCAAGTATTCACCATAAGTACGTTTTATTTTTTGAGGACCAGTATCGTAAATACGTATACTGCAGATATGTTTAGTTTGTATAGTTTTGTTAAGTTTGATTAGGGATATCTATAGTTATGTTTAGTATTATGGTCTCATAGGTGCACTGCATTTTTTATTTTATTACTGAAATTATATATACATATATGGAGCGTAAATTTTGATTTGAATTAAATTTATTTTTCAATTTAGAGGCGTGTCAAATAGATAGATCCATGTAATATATGAACGTAAGCATGTCTAATCTGAAACCAAGTCCGATATCACAATTAATCCGATTTGTTTCTTGATGATCTTCCTTCAGTGGCGCGTGTTATTTGATATAAGTTCAATTTTCAATAGAATCAACAATTCTTCCAGAGTAACAGTTAGAGTAGTTTTTTACCAGAACTTGTAACTATTGATGTGATCTATCAGTTCAACGGGTGCAATTTATGTATGCGTATAAATGGAATTTATGAAAAGTGCAATTTGTTATTGTTTAGCCGAGTCAGTTGGCTTTTCTCTTTAGTGCACTTGTTTCTGAATAGATTGCATAACATTATGACTTTTAAAAAGTTGTATATTTTTGTTTATATTAATTAATTGTAAATATTGAACGTCCCTCGCAAGTCCGCCATACCCATAAAAATAGCAAGTTATGTATGCTAATCATTCAGAGACTTCACCACGTACAACTTTGTGACCGATAACACATATCATTAAGTCTTCAATCACTTGATTTATTCTCTGAGCATTGAATTGACCTAAATATGCAACTAACGGTATCAAAATTAATTTTACTGACCTATTTTCTGAGAAATTAGCATATGAATTATGTTGTTTTTGTATATATTTATTTATAAACTAATCTATGTCTATACATTGTTAATATTTGTTTTAATTGTTAAGCAACCCCAAAATTTGTTGATTAAATTTTGTTTAAATGAAAAGTTTTCTTTAATTTCGAATTTAAAAAGGTAATTCGTTGAAGTAAGTAGTTCAAAGTATAAGCATACTTTCAGCAATTGCCGTTATACAAACATACATTGCCCAAAAATCATAGCGCTAATCAGCAAAAATATATTTACAACTATCATAAATTAAAAAAACTTTAGTTAAATAGATGATTCTCACAAAACACTTTGATCTTATTTAATTCATCAGTTTATAACGCTCTTTAGTATACATCTTCAGAACGTCCGAATTTGAATAAAATCGATGCGATGCAGATCAGTGTGTTTTGAAGAAACAGAGCAACGCCTGGTGATTTCAAGTCTAAAAATGGTATCAATAAGTTACCAGTTTGATTGGCACATATCTCAAACACGTGGAGACATATTGCACACAATATTCTTACCTCTGTTAGTGTAAACTGTCAACATAATACTGCAAGAAGCAATTACCGCTGCAAAACCCATGACAAATCCTAAAAATATCCAAACTCTTGCTCCACGCGTGCCCATACAGCCTCCGTCATACGAGTCGCCTCTCATCTGAAACGCACAAGAAAAGTCGGTATAATTTGTGAGGTTTTTAACATTAAGATCTAAACCTACTTGGAATATTACAAGTAAGAAAGTTTGCGACATGTTATAAAGAAAATCCCAAAATTGCAGTTACAATTTTCGAGTTGATGCACGGAACGTGAATTTCACATGTTTCCATAATACGTTCACAAAAAACGTAAATAACATCAACATTAGATAATGAAAGTACAGATTAAACTCATTGCATTTAATACCATACATACAATTAGAATATATCTCATTACATAAAGGGACGCAAAAAGGTTGACTTTGGGAAAAAGTTTAACAATTATACTAACTTAACTATAATAAAAAAAAGGAATAAACACATGCAATATACAAATCAAATTGAGTTTACAGACTGAATTATTTTAATTGTGGTAAATTAGACAGAGGACAAACCAAACCAATGAAAAAACAGACACGAACAAACCGCGTCAGAAATATTTGATTAAATCAAGTTTTGGTTAATGTACTATAAATCTTAAAACAATTTAAAAAATGATCGCAGAAAAATCCATGAGATGATCCAAATTAAAGCAATTTACCGTGTAAAAAGAATGAGACCTTAATAGAAATATAAATAAAATAGAAAATGTGTCTTTAATATTTCCTTAACCATGTTCTTGGTCCCAGACCCAGAGTAAGCTTTTTATTTTCATAAATTTTTGAGAATTTATAGTAGTACACGATTACTTCCGAAGGCACGGCAAAACATATTGAATTCCCATCTGAAGTTGCCAAATGCTAATTCCTCTGCAATATTTTATCGCCTGCATTAACGTATTTTCTATCTTTACTTAGAATTATTCTTATAATTGCGGTTATTTACTTCCACGCATAATTTGTTTAGCTTTTTAGACTACAGAACTAAGCATTCAATATCCCAAATTGAAGCTATACGTAAATAACCATTGGACTAGAAAAAAACTAAAAGTAGAAATTGCCACAAAGTTGAGCATTTAACAACGAATTTTTGCTCAAGCAACGACAAACAAGCTGGTCGTTAAAATGCGATTTTCATATAGGGTTGTAAAGCCAAATGTAAATTTGATGATGTAATTTACATCGGTGCAAACTTGTTACAAGTTATACCATAGTTTTAAGTAACTCCCAGTTACGATAGCTGTATGCACTCTGCAAGATTGAATGATGAACTATAAAGAATTGTTGGTCAACAGCAACACACAGTTTGTATGTTCTGAGTCGAAACTTAGTTGCTTTTCTAAATCCGTACAATATAATGAAAAAACAACCTGCTTACCAATGCATTAGATACAGAATTGACCATAATAAGTGACACTGTTCCAGCCACCCCACACATCCAGTATCCAGCTGGAATCTGGCCAGGATGAACCGTTTCTGAATCTATGATGATCCACCAACCAGTAAAGAACTGGAATAAAATATAACACAAATGACTAATATAAAATTTCACGACCAAAGGCGCAGTTACATGATATAAATACTACAAAGATATCTTACCAACAGTCCAGCCACCATTGAAGCATAGGCATTCTTTCTGTTCCCTTCAAACCACAGACAACCTGGCATGTTAACATTGCTGAAGCAGTCCATAATACCCATTTTCACGGAAATTATTCTCCGAATAAAAACCTACTTCCAAAACACAAATAATAATAATTATAATTTTATGGCAAATGTCAACCTTGGATGTCAACTGTCACAGAACATCCCCCTTAGAATTGAAACTGAAAGGTTTAATTTTGAATATACGTTTAGCGCCCCTGACGGTGACGCGTGTGAAACTCGGTTAGAATATGAGTCATTTATCTGATATTTTATTCCTAATTGCATTCACAAAATTTTATCAGGCCGAAAGCTTCAAGCTTACTTTACCGTTACAGTTAACAACCTAGTAAGTATATATTTCCTTTCAATAAAAGCGAGCCTATTAAAAATTATTAAATTAAATTACTTATCAAACATTCTATTAAATACATTTTCACGAAATCAGTTACAAACCACATTTTTTGTGATTTTAATTATTTTCAAAAAAATTTTCTTCCTGTTATGTACCACAGTGTTAGCCTTCTCTCGGACAGATGTAAAAAGACCAAAACAGATGGCCCCATCTAGCGGCGCCCCGCGTCCAGGGAGCATAGCAACTTTGCCCCATTTATTTACCATTCTAAGGGGGGATAATTTGTGTCAACTGTCGGCTTGAAAGAATAGAAAAGTAAATCAAATTGTAGGGCTTTGCAAGTGCAGCCGTCCAAGCGTCCACTGGCGGCTAACTTGTAAACTACACTTAACGAGTTAATTGGTGTGGTATCAAATTGAGAAATTATATAAAAAATACAGGGTGATTCAAAATTGGCGTCATTCCTCTGGAGGTGTTGTCTGGCGCTGTTATAGGAGTACAGAAAAAATAATAAAATAAATTAATTGTTATTAAAAACTGAGAAATTTGCAAAAAAATATCATAAATACGGCAGCAATGTTTTTCAAGGTAATCTGCCTAATTAACATTGCACAAATACTTGTGGCTTCGTAATTATTTAAAACTCCGGTAACCATGGAATTATACAGACTGACAATAAGATAGACAAGGATAAACGGTAAATTCATCAAGATTTGCTGAATTTACAATTTTTGTTTTGAATCACTCTGTATATATATGTAATACACATGCTGGGTGCAAATAAAGTACTCATTAGAAAACTTTGCGCTCAGATGTTTCTAATAACAGAGATAACAGTTGTAAAACTTTGACAAAAATTAGTGTTTTTTAGATTTCAAACCATTCATTTAATTTGCATAAAATTTTGTAAAAATCGTAATGAAATAGATCTGCAGTTAATCAGTGGCGAGTTAACTGGGAAGATCCAGCCTTTTTTGTTCCACCAATAAATATTCAACACTGTTTTAATTTTTTTGATCAATTCGCAGAGAAAAAACTGCGCTTGAAAAACTCTGATTTAGACTTCCACCTCAGAGATTTAAAACTTAAACCTAGTTTCACACCCGAGCCACCCGCATTACAATTTCAAACCACAAAATCAGTCTAGAAACTTTCTCCGACTGGCTGTTGGAATCCTTTAGGTAAAATCAGAATTTTAACACTTTTTTTGGACAAGATTGAGCAATCAAGCTAGTTTAACTCGAAGAATTTTTAATCGTACCCTTAAACCCTAGAAAAACTCATCTTCGGTCCTTCCAACATGTTAATGTACGATTAAGAAGATTATTTCTAGCTATTTCCAGTTGGTCAATTTTTCCCTTACATGCAGATTCATTGTTTCTTTCTTGGTAGAGTGGAATATTTGAAATTAACTACTTAACAATCCCATTAATAAATGAAAATAATCCGTTTTTCGTTTGTATTCAGGAAACTTCACAGGTTTCGGACGTGCTTTTAAATGTAGGTTCGGTATTGAAATTTTTTTATTCTTTTGCTGTTTTTCAACAAATAATTACCCATCCATTATCATTGGCTCTCAAGTATATAAAGAACAGAGCTCAATTAAAACCTAGCATGCTGTAACTTAACTTTCTACAAAAAAAAAATAACTTAAACGAAATTAAAGATAACTGTGTAATTTAATTAATTAATTTAAGAAAAAAAGTTCGAGCTCTTGAAAGTTGTCTCATCTTTATTAAAACACTATATAACTATCCTACTTAATATAACCAATCATAAAAATAAAAAAACATACAGAAATGATTCAATTTTTATACATACGAAGTTGAGACTCTTATAAAAATAAGCTTATAAATTACATAACGCAAAAGGCAACCAACTAATTTAGCTGAACGCCAAACTTGGATAGATACGTTTGAAGAACCATTTGACAATCGGACGAAGTGTTACTTATTAAAGTCGGCAATTTACCAACCTGCGACGAGCTCAAATTGGCCAGACTTTGAACGAAAAACTGTCTTGTATCGTTCACTCCAGGCAGCGGGTCTTCTTTCGAATTGTTAGCGAAATTCAATCGGGCGTTTGATGTCTGGTAAGTTGGAGTATCATCCACTTCGATAAAATGATCATCCGGCAACGTAGACTCATCTGGAGGCATTTCGAAGTACTTCAGTAGAGCTTGAAGGAGTTGGGGCCAATATTTTCCATAAGTCCCGTCTATTGTCTCAGGTGTTTCGCACAGCAATTTGCTAACGCCACAAGAAACAATTTTGTTTTCTATTTGTCCTTTAACTTTCTGTAGTTCTGGAATTAATAGTTTTTCCAACACCATGCCGAACATTTGTGGCTGTATTCCATCGATTAGAGCGATTAGTTCACGTGCACTATATTTTACGATAAACAAACAAATAAAAACTATAAAGTTGATAACAAATTTAGTGGTTTTGCTTGAAGACAGTCGTTGAAATAGCAAAAAGAAAATTTGTTTCAAATATGGGCCTATCGCTTCTTTAGGGACGTTTTGAAGTAAACTTTGCATCAAATGAAAACCTTCATGGTCATTGGACTTGGAAGCGATGAGTTTCTGAAATACTCCAAGATAGCCAGATAGTTTATCTTGAGCTATGATTTGAGGAGTGGCGTGGGTTAAGAAGGCTTTCAACAATCTAACAAGGGGACTGATATTAGCAGGCCTCTCCCATAACACTGGAGACAGCAAACAGGGAAGTAATTGCATATATGCTTCAGATACATTTCCCGGAGGGGAATATTCCATGAAAAGCGAAATAATTTGAAACACGTATGGAATAAACTCTTGAATATCCTGCTGAAGAATTGCTTGAAACGTTGGGAACAAAATATCTTCAAATGACTTTACAGCTGATTGGTTGGTTTTGCACACAATTCGTATAGAGAGCGACAACGTTTCGAAAAGGTAATGATTGAAATGCGGCTTGGATGGATTTTTGGCCACTGCCTGCAGTTTTTGGGTAAGCTTAGGCAACGCAGCTCCGAGAAACGGAATGACCAACTCTTGCAGAATGGAAAAACTCCTCATGATGGCTTTCATAACGTATTCATTTTCCTCAGACACTGGCCTTTCCAAAACGCCAAACAGCTGTGAAATTAATTCAGCAACGAAAGGTTGAATCTGGCTACCCGTGATCATTTCCTGGTTATTACCGTCTTTGAGAATTAGAATTTTCTCAATACAGCACGCGGCATAGGTGTGAACCACTGCGCTCTCGGAACTAAGATGCCTGATCAGTTGGGGTATGGCTGATGTAACAAGCTCCCTTGGTAAGACTGATCTGAAAGTCATTAAATACTTTATCGCATCTGCTCTTAAAACTGGTAGTTCATTAATATCTGCTCCTTGTAATTCCGGAATAACTTGTTGATGACAAAACTGAGATATGTCCACTAATTGACTGGTTTGGGTAACGCCACGGCGCTGGGTTGACCCTCGGCTTACTAAAGAGATCACTAAGTACATGGCGGCGTCTTTGTTCCGCCAATTACTCTTGGGGTTTTCTGCATATTTTGCTAACATTACTTGCATATATTGCCCGAAAATTTCCATGATCTTTTGCTCGAAATGTGTACTAAGGGTATTAACTAAGTCACAAGCGGCTCTTCTCCGGGTGTCCACGTCTGAGCCCTCAATATCCCGCCTGGTAAATTCCTCAGGATTGTCTTCAAACAGCTCTTGATCAGATTCCCGGAACTCCATATTTGGGATGACGACCTTCTCACATATACTACTAAGCACGTGGTTGTCTTCGAATAAATTCCTATAGTGGCTTCTTTCAGCTACTGATGATAAGAATTGTAAGGCGTTGGAAACGAGCAAATCAAACTTAGGCTCTAAGCCGGTCGCTACTAATAAACTCCATACATCAGTGACAAACTGGGGAAGATATTGACGGAACTCTTCATCATATTTCTGAGCGTAGAGCGCAATGTTGTCGCAAATTTGAGTCTTCAATTGTTCAATTACACCCGGTCCCTCGTCGCTCCCTGTCTGTAAGCTCTTCTGATCTACTGTGAGTAAAATATGGAAATTGTGCATCCACACCTGCATGTTATCTTCAAAGAACTCAGGCAAGTCTTGAAAATTTAAAGAGTAATACACTTTGCATATCAGCACCAATGAGCTGTATATTGTCCGAAGTGCGTTAACATCATTAGCGTGAGTTTCCGTGAGTTTTACTGTGGCGACGAACAAATCTGTTAAAGGTTGAGCTATTTTCTCTAAAACGTATTTGATTTCAGTCCATAGTTCATTGGATTTGAACTCGTAGCGGTATTTTTTAAATAAACTATGTCCTGTTCTCAGGATCCCGTTAATTACATTAAAGTCCCCTGTAGCGAACTTTTCCACCATTTGGGTGATCAGCTCGGGCCATTTAATTGGGAAATCAGTTTTCCCGATAATACTTACAGCGTCACTTAACTGTTTCTGTATGGACTCGGGAGAGGTCAACATCAAAGTCACTATGAGATTTTTAATTGCTACTCTATCTGATTCGTGAATCCTATCTGGTTGATCATCTTCGACGCTCCAGTTGCGTTTGATGTAGTTTTTAAACGCCACTGATCCGGCTATTCTCACAGTCATGTCCACCTCGGGTTTATGCACCAGATTCAGCAAAAGTAAGGGGTAGTTTTGATTCACCTCAACGCCTTCTAAGAATTTCTCAGCTGGTCTTCGAATTGAAACGTCCGGGTTTAAGGTCTCTTGAAGGTAACGGGCTAGAGTTTGCAAATTTTCTTCGGATATCTCCATTTTCTGCAAATAAGACACTTATTGAATAAAATGAATGTTGAAAACATTTTTTTAAACTATTAAATTGAATTAAAAAATTTATTGAATAAGTTCATTTACTCTTTTAATTGCTATGCTACTAAGAGACAAGATGGTCAAACTATAACTTAATAGAAGTTTGCATGAATTACTTCTATTCACGAAAATAATAATTGAATGGCACATATGTTACTTTCTGAAATACAGTGCTCAACAAAATGAACGTTACACAGCCAAATTTAGCCATTTGGCTTCTGTTTGAAGCCTTATCTAGCCCATTTGCTTTTTTTTGTTCGTCTATGTTTTGGCAAAAATTAAGGCTCTCAGCTTGTAAGGAAAATACTTAAAAGTCCTACCGGGTATAGCGTAAGTCCAATTTTAATCTGCGAGTGTTATAAAGATATTTACACCTAAAAACATCACAAAAATAACATCAATACTATGCTCTAAAAGCTTCAACTAGCGGAGGTAGTGAATTTTAAAAGTGCGGTCCCTTAACAAGTATTTATTATTTAATTTAAGATAACTCGGTATATATCTTAGGTCTCACACACTTAATAAATCCGACAACATATTTACAAAAATTTGCAAAAACTGGTCAAGTCATATCAGAGATACAACTTTCAGGCGTCTTAAAACTTTTTGGAAGTCAATAAATTTCAAGTACTTTAAAGATTTCAATTCAATCAACTATTTTGTTGTAAGTATCAGTTTGTATCTGGTAGAAAACATTTTCTAAATCATAGAGTGTAGGGGTAGTAAAAACAAGGAGCTCAGATGCAACTCCTATTGTAAGTAGGATGATTTCGTGCAACCACAAAAATATAACCTAGAAAGAAATATAACAATCTTGGAGATTACTAATTCATATCAAAGAAGATACAGGAAGAGCATAGACACAGGGAAATCATAATCGTTGTTAAAGTGAGGCCCAAACAACAAAATACAAGCATTTTAAGAAATAACCTATATGCGGCTCTAAGGCGATATCTTCTAGTCGGGTCTTGAGTGAGCCGTTTGTGGCTATTGCCGCAAACATGTAAATAACTCAGATAAAGTTTAAAATAAGCAAAGCATTGTTTAATCAAATACATACCTCGAAATAAATTACTTTTTAAACCGCGCTTTTACAAAACAAAACCCTTTATCAGCTACCGGTTTTGACAGAAACTGGCTGTCACTTGACTGATGGTGAACTTCAGAGTTGCCACATGTATCTACCACAAAAGTGATATAAATAATAAGGCTCACATTGAAAAATTGGTTGATAAATTGGGATTTTGAAACAATTATATTACATACCAAATATGATTTTAAATATAGCAAAGTTTTACAGTTTAGGCTCAGTTTTTAGGACCAATAACTTTGACCCATTTAGAGAAGACGAACAGTTTACTTTGGCATAACCATTTGCCATTTTCTAAATAAAATTATTTAAAACCATAGATTGTTGATCGGAAAAAGGAAAATGGCATTGTCGTTGATTCTCAGGAATAGTGCGAAGTTACGAGGTAAATATCGATATTCAGCTGGAGCAATTTGTAGGGAACATCTCCATTACATAACCGGTGAAAATGTTTTCGATTTAGGGCTCTCCACGATTCCAAGGTGCTCATTTCAGCTCCAAAAAGCGCAAAACTTTAGTCACCTGGTCCCGAAGAACAACGCAAATGCCGTCTTTCTTGCAGCCAAATGTCGGCTTCCGTTTGTAAAAATCGCTGAACAGAAAAGATTTATGTCTGCTGACCACAGCAAGTTGTGGCCCATAGAGAAACTGATCTCTTTAGTACTCTTAGGAGTCGTCCCAGCCACATTTTTCTGTCCCAATAAAATTCTGGACAACATTTTCGCCCTGGCAGTGGTAATCCATTTCCATTGGTGATTACTTGATAAATACTCATTTACAGTTACCATGTTAATATTGTCCTTTTAGGGGATTGGAAGCTTGCGTTGTTGACTACATTCGACCCATCATAGTGGGCCCCGTTCTGCCCAAAATAGCGCTAGGATTATTGTATGTGATCTCAGCTTCTACTTTAGCAGGTCTTATTTACTACAACCAGCATGAAATTGGAATTGGGGCGACTCTTCGTAAATTCTGGTGCATCACTGGTTGTCCATCTGACAATGAAGCAACCCCTCAGTGATCTGTAAATACTTAAATTCTACTTTTCTGTTACATTTTGCAAAAATTATTGTATTGCCTTCAAGAGTACCGCAATAATAAATTATTTGCCTTTTCATCATTGAATCACTTTCCATCATTTGATGGAGACAAATGATTTATAAGCTATAACATGCAATTACACTATTTGGGGTAAAAATAAAAACATGTGAATTTAACGAAAAAGTGAAGGTAACCTTGGTCGTAGGTTTCAAAGTTTGATTCTTCGACGGATTTAATCGCATTAAATATAGCGATAAATGTCCAGTTTATATTAAATATAAAATGTTTGAATAAAATATAAATTTCGGAAGAAACTCATATACTTTCCGAATATCGCTTTGTTTCAATTTTTTCTTCAAGTCATTTTAGACTTAGTGATTTTTAACCATTCATTTAAAATTTCATTAATATTTATATAAAATCACTGTTTAGACTCGACTCTAGGTTATGTAAGTTTTAACCTATACGCCACAAGTTGAGTAAAATAAATGGAAAGAATGGCCCAAAAAATAGCCAAAGACCAATTCCGAAGTGTATTTAAAACAGTGGATAAAGACCTTTTACAATGGTTTCCTGGACATATGGGTAAAGGTCTCAAACAGATGCAGCAGAAACTGCGTTCAGTAGATTGTGTTATTGAGGTGCATGATGCTCGGATCCCTTTGTCTGGACGGAATACAGACTTTAAATATACTATCAGTGGAGTTAAGCCCCATATATTAGTGCTGAATAAGGTTGACCTTATTGAACGGAAAATGCAGGCCCGCATAATAGATAAACTTAAATCGGAGCATGAACATATTCTATTTACTAAGTGTAAAAACCAGAGCTGTGCTGGAGTCAAACAGCTTTTTCCATTAGCACAAGAGTTGATAAGACGTTCCAATCGGTACAACAGACAAAATGAAGACGATTATAATTTGATGTTTATTGGAGTGCCGAATGTAGGTAAATCTTCACTGATAAACGCTTTGAGGGTATTGCATCTACACAAAGGCAAAGCTACGGCTGTTGGCTCAAATCCAGGTGTAACCAGGAGCGTATTACAGCGCATTAAATTGAGTAACTCGCCACTTTTTTACATGCTCGACACTCCCGGCATTTTAACACCAAACATCCAAAATGTTGAAATGGGATTGAAGCTGGCTTTATGTGCAACAATTCAGGACCATCTAGTGGGAGAAACCATCATATGTGATTATCTTCTATTCTGGCTTAACCATCATGGCTATTTCAATTACCAAAATTATTTTCAAATGGACAAACCTTCTGATAATATCTTAGAAGTGCTGGCTCACATAAGCAAATCATACAACAAGTTTCTTAGAATCCGGACACCTTTAAATGAATATATGCTGAAACCGCATTTCGAAGCTGCAGCCAATATTATGCTGAAAGCATTTAGGGATGGTTCTTTAGGGAAGTATATGTTAGATGAAAGTTTATTGTAACTAGTCATTTTGTGATCTTTTAAATAATGTTAAAATTTACCGAATGGCCTGAGCATGTTTAACACGTTCAGGCCCTAATTACAAATAATTTTCTTTGTAATAAAGTTGAAATGGTGCTATTGAGCGAGACCGAAATATTTTGAGCTAATTACGAAGCTTCCGGGAAAATTATTTGATTTTTTTTAAGTCGAAATCGACCCGACAGTATATGCCCATAAATGATAATAATGTTTTATGGAAAACTTTAATTGACTTGTCCCAAACCTTGGAATTAATTGACTCTTATTGAACTTATTTTGTGACTGAAACAGATTGACTCCCAGTATTTTCTGCTAACACATTAATTTCTCTCCTTAACTTGGATCTTTACAGATGCAGTGCAATCAAGATATAAATATTTTATCTAAAATAACACCACAAATATTCCGATAATAGGCCGAGATACCCTGTAAGTGGTTCAACTAAAATCAACTCCTGTGTTTTCCTTTTGAGGACCGTTTACAAAAGACAACATACAATGTGAGCGAAAAAACTTGGTTTTTATTGTTTTTCACTTGTTCATCAACAATACCACAGTTACCAGTTGCTTAATATAACACATTTTCTTAATGTTCAATTGTAAACCCGTCTTGAACATTTATCTCCAGCTACTTTAACCGTAAAGAAACAGTCCTAAACTTAAGTTTTATTCGCGTCATCTATTCATCTTATTAAATTTCCAATCGAACGGATTAGATTTTTTCTATAAATAAATAATTTAACTAGTAGTCGTCCAGAACTAGTTTTTACCACTGTAACTCAACTATACATGCATTATTGTCTCTATTTACTATTAAATTCGTTTCAGCAACAAGAAATGTATGTAATTTTTTACTATCTAATGTTGAGCTAGCTTTTAGCATTGGTCAGTATATTTACTTACATTGAGCTGTGATAATTGCGGGCTGTTACGATTATTCATAAATTTATTAGTTTAAAAAAGTGTTACCTGTTTGATTGTTATTCAAGATTTGCGTAGACGTTTATTGAGAAATATTTCCAATTTCATGTAGATAATTTCAACTCCACTTGTGGCAACAATTATCAGCTGTTTTTATACTTTATTGTATATTTATGTTTAATAATTATCCTTTTTAATTTAAAGATTTTAAAAATCTACGAAAACAACAGGAATTACTTCATTTTCTTTAGCCATTTCATTTCTGTTTATCAAAAAGGCAGACAAAGCAATATTATTTAACACACATGCTTGTGAGAAGAAGGGTTTTCTAATTTTCCACTAAAACAAACAATAATCCCAATTTTCTGTAAAAATCGAACAGATTTGTGTAATTGTGGGTAGCTGCTAACATTTGTTACATCAGATTAATGGAAGTGTTTATTAAACGTAAAAAGGTTCGCTGGTAGAAATTAGAATAGTCCCAATCATGAAGTGATATGTTCAAAGAATTTTTATATTATCCGCTAATAAAATAATGATATTGACTGTTTGAGTTTAAATGGGTACCTATTTTAGGATCGTTTATTATCTACATCAAAGGCGCTTTTCACATAACTGGCCTCAACTTTTCAAATTCTGCGCCCTGAATAGCTGTAATGCTTCCCACTGTTTTTTGTGCATTAATATGTGTGGTCGCTTTTCTTTCATGCAATTTACTGCTTGCTCCGGTGTCCAATTGTATCTCTGAAAGTGTAGAATGTTAGAAAGAAGTTATTAGATATTTATGAAATAGTAATGCTTACCTTCATTAGATAGCAACCCACTAATGTTGCACTCCGCGTGCGTCCAGCTTTACAATGAATGTAAACTGAAGACGTTGATATGCCATTGACCACTTTTTGTGAGTCCACAAATTTATTGATAAAGTTTACTCCTTCGACCAGTTTACTCTGACACGGCGTGGCAAATATATCTACAGTGGCCAATTGAAGAAATTCAACTCCTAACTTTTTCCATGACTAAAATGTTAATGTGGTTAAGCTTTTCGAATGATGGTCCCAGTAATAATTCTTGCCTTGGAATTATTTGTTAGAAACAATTCGTAATCCTCGTTCATTGAAACTACTGCTTTTACGTTTTCCTTTTCGATTATCTAGAACATAAGTCAGAAATCTTGAGTAGCTTCCTCAAGGACTTTGTTGTGTAAGTTGGCAAGTTGATAAAAAAATTAAGTGATGGAAATATTTTATCGTCGAATTTTGTGTGTAGTTATATTCTTTAATTGATATTTACGATACATGTTTTTTTTAATGAAGCCTGTCCATACTAGTACCAAATGTGCTAATCAAATGGAAGTTTTTTCGCTTAAACTACTTCAATTATAGTCTGCTTAAACGTAAGAAAAACAGCATTTGTATAAAAATAACAACCACGTAACTTTAGACCAATTTTAGTCTAAAATCCTAAAATGTTGAAGCTTTTCGCTAAAAAAAAGATACTTTCAAATTATGTAACGCTTTAAAATAAAACCGATTTTAATCTCTCAATGCCAGCGTTCAAGAGACTTTTCTTTTAAATGTTAATTGTCACCCTTCTTCTCATTGAACATTAAAAAATAATGGATGTAGATAAGTATAAACATMCGCAGAAAAAGTTTTTTAAAGAATCTTGAACTTTTTGGTAGCAGATCGGACGTTAGTTTTATGGCTATATTTTTTCAACGTSTGCAAAAATTCAACAGGGAATTGGAAAACTTTTCCTTGGTTTATAATTAAAAATTTCTGTTACGGTTAATGTAAATTTTGCTTTACCTTTTTCGATTGTGATTGAACTGACTTTATCAATTATCGCTTTTTTACATCACAATAAATACATCATGTACAAATATAAATGTTTTTAATATGTATACATATTATAATTCATGTGTCTAKTCAGAAACGAATACGATCTTGCCGTAGATTCTGAAGACTCCATTAATTCGTTTCCAGATTTCAGGTATATTTTAATAAACGCTTTTAAATCCAAGATTAAAATATCGAAAATTACCAGAAAAGTCCAAAGTAAATGTTAATTTTATTATTTCGGATMAGGCGAAAGAAGCAGCAAAAAGYAAGATTCAGTACAGGGGCGGATCCAGCTTTCAAGTCAGCGGGGGGTCATATAGTAGAAATTTAGTMTTTTTTGYCTATKAAATTAGAAAAGTGATCGTTAGTTGACATAAACCCAGCACAAGTGGAAGGGACATGACCCCCAGAAGAAGTTTTGTAATATTTTAAAAAATTATTATCTGTTGAGRTTCAAAATTCTTCTTCAAGCTGCCTTTACGTGGGTGAAAATGTCGTTTGAGGTTCTCGGAATTTGTAGTTTTGTCCATCCTTACCTTAAACATCACTTCAAATCAAGTCCTCTCAGTGAAAATTTTTCCTGAAGGGTCCATAAATTAAGCCAAAAACCATTCACAAACTTTAAGGAAAATCGSCATTTTCAGGATAAATTTCAAGCGGTGTTGCCAAACTGCGCAAACTRTTTTAAGTTAATGAAAACTSTKTCCTTGGATACCTACCATGTAGATTCATTCAATTTGGGTTAAGGCACTAGCTACSATGCTAACACAAACTGAATTWACTGGTTCATTCATTTTGAAATAATACTTCTTATTAATTGTTACATACAAACTGTTAATAAATGGGTGAAATACGTGGCAACACCGCATTGTTCTGAATTCTCYRAAGAAATATAAACAATCCAGCAACTGACTGCGAGGCGAGGCCAGAAGAGATGCTCAAACTTTTGCAAAAAACGGAATTATTATGCATCWTAGCGACAATTTTGCATGTGGAGTTATGAATTGTTGATACCTAAAACACGATTTAGCAGCAARTAGCACCGGACAATATAATTTTCGTGCATAAATAAGTGGTTTTGGAAACTCAAATTTCAAAACTTTGTGGGTGATTTTTGGCTTCATTTATGGACCCTTCAGGAAAAATTTTCACTGAGAGTGCTTAATTTCAAGTGATCTTTAAGGTAAGAATAGAAAAAACTAGAAATTCCGAGAACCTCAAACGACACGATCACCCTTTAGGTGTAATACACATAAACATACCATTGGAGTAAAACCTCAATTGCATCATACAAAATTCCATAATTCTAACCTTAAATCACTCACCCTGTATATGCAAGACTGAACACTGACCTAGTTTTAAAATACTTAACCTAGCTTTGCTTTGACTTTTAACCTACAATTGTGAAAAACGTTTTATTTGCCACAAGAGCATGTTAGAAATAAACCAGCTAAGTAACAGGGATTCGAAAAGTCACCTAATTAAATTCACTTACTTCTGTAGCAATACTCGGGAAGGGCAGAGCCCCTAGAATGACCGTATCATCTATTCTATTGTACCATTGTCGAGGGGTCAATTTTTCCATTAACACATTGTAGACTAAAGTCGGATAGAATGTTACACGGGCGAACATTTTTTTCAACACTGTAATACACATTAACTCGGTCAATTGATGTACATTCAAGTATCTGTATCGATTTCCTCCTGAAATTTAAAATATATTGAGCATGCCAAAAACTGACGTGTATTTTAACGCACTGCTGTAGTTTTGCCCTACATTTTATTCGGTCACAAACAGACTCATGTTCAATTTATCATTTTGGAGAAAGCGAAAACGAATTTTCCCCATCTAGAGTTGATTCACGGTTACGAAGAGAAAGTAAACAAACTCGCTGTGTCAATCGCAAGCTCTTTTTATCTGCATGTAGGAATGTATTCTGCGATTTTAAAGCTGTCTTTAAATGCTTGAACGCTTTAAAAAAAACAAGCAAAATGAGGTAATTTTATAGTGGTTGACCTGAGCCGAAGTCTTCTGAATTATTTTTGTCAAAATTCTTCAAGTCAAAGTGGGATTTTAAGAAATCCGAAAAAATATATAAAATTTACTGGAGTAAAAATGCTGCAAGATTAACTTTGGCGCAATTGTCGTAACTTTTTTGGAATCGCTGTACTCTACGTTATCGTCGAATAACTTATTATCTACGTGTGGAACTGTTTGAAATTGGCATATTTAACTCAGGCTACAAATTCAGTTTCTTTTCCAATAAAGTTCAAAAACATTTTTGTATAGTTTCGTATTCCCAAGTAGGTAATTTGCTACATGCCTCGAAATTACCGAAAAACAGTTAGGGAAAAAGAAACTTTACGAGTTATTTTGCCGAAACATGAGAAAATGCGCCTTTATATTTTACTTAGCAATTTCAATAAAAGGTAGACTGGTCACTCACTCAGATATATTTCTGTTAAATTAAACTTCAATTATTAGACTAATTATATTTTTGCCAAATTGAGTTTGTCGGTCCGTGAACAGTTGGGGCTTCTTCCACTGAAATAATGAGTCCAATGCGTCCTTCAGGAATCATTCGGAACTGCCAGTCCAGCGTGAGTCTATCAATTTATGATCGCAGACATCCAGATAAATTATGCGAAAAACAAAATCCTCAACAATCTAAAGTAGGTATAATCTGCCTATTAAACAAATAACTGATAAGATATCATCATAACATAAAATAGAAAAAAACATTTTGATAGGAAATGCCTGTAGTTATTGCGTGAAAGTAAAGAAAATCGCCGGGTAAAAGTGACAAAGGGTTCCCGAACCCTTTGTCAGACAAAAGTCTGCATTTTTTAGATTCATTAGAAGGCCTGGATAATCTCGCAAGTGACTAGATGAAAGCGTATCCGCCCAAAATAAGTCTTACAATTTTAAAAATGTTTTTCAGCAAAATAACAATTTTCACATTATCACACAAAACAAGAGAAAAAATCCTAAAATCAATAACATGGACAATTCCTGACCTAGAATTTGAAACTATCCCGGCATTTTAAATTTTCATCTGTTGCTTTTATCTACTGAATCTATTTAGCTAAACTTTATAAACAATAGGGGGGAATAACAAATTAACTTAACAAACGATAATATACTAATATTCTAATACAAAAGCACTGGTTGGATTGCATAATACAATGGAGATTTAGTTACGTGTTGTTATTATTCAACAGGTTTGGTTCAGCCCTTTCTTACAAAAATAATTTTGAAAAATAAGAAGTGGTCGAAAGGGAACTGACTAGGAAATAACGGATTTTTCACTATGATATCGTCTACCGGAGCAACTAGGGGAAACGGGTAAACCATAGTTTTTTCGACGACTAAACGATATCTACAGTCCGTTCCGATATTCCTGGGAATTTAGATACTTTCTGGACACACACTTCAATTCCTTAACCGTAACAAATTAAAATTGTATCAGTGATATAAACGCTTCGTTTTACCAAAAAGTCTTGATAGATATGCGTATTTTCTGTGACACCTTATGGCGGTGAAATCGTCCAACTTTTAGCAAGAAAGCCCACATAAAATGCATTTTACAATTTAAGCCATTTTATTTCACATAGTTATTAATTGATTCATTTTGATATAAAAAATACGGAGACACTGGTAGCTTATGTGGATTTTAAATAACTGTAAACTCATTTAGCTTATATATAAATCCGATCAAAGTAAAGAATATATCTGTTTAGCACAATTGGCTCGCTTATTCTGGGCCTCGTTAGTTACATGAAAGTGCAGCTTCAACAGAGGTAAAAATTCTCCACTTTCTTTGATTTTCTCAACCACTTCAGGTCGGAGAGAATCCGAATTTTGCATAAGTGTGCCAATGGCTACATATATGCGAAATTGCGCCTCCGAATCATCTAAAGTGGTTATCATGTCCGGTAAAACTTCAGCCAACACCTTGTACCCCGCATGTTCTTTGTTCTTCAAAATCATTAATGTTAAGTTCATTAATACGGTTGCCAAGGCCAGCTGACCGTTCGCGTTGATGTGACGAACGGTAGAAACATTGCCAATTATATCATATCTGAAAATTAACCATTGTCTCACCATACATTAGCATACAAGGATCAATACTTACATATTTTCTGACACTAAATTTTCCCCAGATTTATGGCTGCACAAATTGCAAATCGTCCTCAGAGCTACAATCCTATTATTAACCACAGCATGTTCACTATTAATAAATCCCTGAAGTTTCTTTATAATCACGCCCTCGTACAGCTTTGAAATTATTGTATTGCTGTGTTCATTTCTCACAGCCATTCTAACAATATCCAGCACTGGAAATAAGTTATTCTCTGGCCATTCGAACATTTTAAACAGCAACTCATAAATTGTTGCATTCTCAGAAGGCTCCACACACAACTGAACTAAGTTTTCCAGGTCGTTGCCAAAAAGCCTATACTCGGTCAAAGAGCTATTAAACTCCTTAAGTTTCTTTAAAATAACTCCAGGAACTCCAGAATCAAATGTTTTGTATGGTATTATACGAAAATCATAAATAGTTGAATTCGGATCTCCTGTCGTACGAGTAGGATCGACAGGGGGAGGATTTGTGCATCCAGCGGTCGCTGCTACTGAACTAAAAACATATATATCAGCTTTAAGTACACATAATATATGCAGTATTATGCGTCTATTATTTTTATACCTCGTTGTCGGGTTTGGTGCCCTAGTGGAATAGCTGGACCCGCCGGTAAAAGGATCCACATTTACTCCCAGTTGTCCAGTATTGTTTTGATAACTTGGAGTATATCTGTTGCCTCCAGTGAAAGGATCTTGATAGGCACTGCTGCTAGGCGGTACATACTGTTGACTGCTATTTTTCAATATGAAATCCACAACCTGGATGAAAGAAAATTTAATAAAAATCAACCGCACGCCATTATACGCTAAACTAATGAAATATTAGTGAATTTTGAAGGTTTCTAGTAGAGATGATTAGACATTATATTATGAAAAGAATATATAAAACAGCGAGAAACAAACAATCGAAAAATTTCTGAGTCTGAGTGGTAAGATATATATAAAGATGCATGTAAAAAAATAGTGGAGGGATAAAAATAGACAGAGACGAGGGGCAGCTTGAGCATTGGTGAACAGTTTCAAATACTTAGGGCCGATTTATAAAGTAGACTAACGCAAACTCAAGGATTTAGACGAATTTAAATAGAAAATATAGGTATCAGATCATTTGGAAACACACCAGATATTTCTAGATAACAAATAACAGTATCCAATATTATTAAATTTGGTCCTAAATGAATTAAAAGAAAATTATAATTTTTGTTAGACGATTGCTAAACAATAACGCCTGATTAATCATACCTGCTCCAAGTAGGTAGCTGGCAGAAAGTTCTTAGTTAAGAAATTGTTGGCTACTTGATAAACATCATCTCCCCTATTGTAGGGCAACTTCAAAGGCGGTTTTCCTTCTTCAACATCTACACTGAATACAAAATCGTACGATTTTCCTTCAAATACTGTTTTACCACTCGAATCCTTATCGGTGCTTCCCAAAACTTCACCAACCTTATCCCAGAAGCAGGTTTCTCCATCAACAAACCAAGTATAGGCTATTACCTACAAAGTGGGGTCAGTTTGAATAATAATGTTTTTCTATATCAAAAAAGATGCACTTGGAATATACATTCATGCTGATATACTATATGGTGATTCATACCTTGCCTTCATCCCTAATCATCAACATTTGCCCAGCTTTCTTTCCAGGAGTGTACAAAGCCTCTTTTCCTGGCAAGTCCGACACTTTCACTCCTCCAAATTCCTGCTTGCTCTGTCGTTCCAAAGCCAGACCTTCTTCTCTATACTTTGTGAGTGCAGCTTCATCTGCGTATCTGGATTTATCTTGTGTAAATACTCTAACCAGACCATCACTACTTCCTGTTACAATGTCTCCATTATTTAAACATGCTACACTCCAGACCGATTGGGCTGGTAACATGATTGTTTGGGTGTTTTCACCATTTTCCCAATATCTCACTGTTCTATCTTCATCTGAAGTTACAAAACTTTGTGAATCTTTACATACAGCTATATCGTAAATATAGCTTGTGTGGCCATAATATGTGTCAATGAGATCGCCTCCGTAAGACCAGACTTTAATAGATGCATCATTTGAAATGCTTAAAAATGCATTTAAAGCTGGAGCTTCAATTACTGCGCGAACACAATCCGTATGGCCACTCAATGACTGTAATTTCTGACCATCGCTAGACCATACAATAAGTGTTTTATCTGCGCTAGCAGATACAATCCGATTATCTTTAAGCTGTGTTACGCCCCAGATTGCTTCGGTATGTCCAGTGAATGTGACGATACATTTAGGAGTCTCAGATATTTTTATATATTTGGCATTAGTGTCCCAGGATCCTGTTAAGAAAGCGTTTGCTTCATTCGCCTTACCAAGGGCACAAACTGTATTAGAATGTTCCTTAATGGTGAACGTAGAAAAAGGCTCTGATGGTTTGTAGACTAGAATAACACTATCATTCCCTCCAGTCACAACTAAACCATCTGGAAACTCTTCAGTTGGGTCAAGGTATAAAACGCAAGCTACAAAATTTTGCTGATCTTTATAAGTCATTACTTCCTCAAAGTTGCTTTGATGGGGATTGTACTTCCAGAACTTGGCTGTTTTATCTCTTGAGCCACTAATAATGTCATTACTTGGCGTTACCGCTATGCACCGCACGTCCAGCGAATGGCCATAAAGCGTTCGACTTAACGTGAATTCTTTTCCCGACATTTTCGGAAATTAGTATTTTGGTAAATCACCGGACTACTATTTTTGAGGTTTATTATCGCAAGTGACATTTATGAACCATCTGAAAGATGATATGCATGTTAGGAAGTATTTGAAGGAGGGGTACCTAATTGTCTACAATGTGGCATCATTGAGATGAAGTCAAACATTTTATAGATATCCGACTTAACAAATACAAGCGCTGAAATACTGGCCAAATATCTTCAAATAGTTTCAACTATAGAAATGAAGAAAAAACAAGAAGATGTTTTGTTAACGTTTTTATTTTCGGAAATATTTACAAACAGTAATTTCGTAACTAATTTTATCCGCAATGTCAAGCAGAACTTGAACAATTTGATATCCTAAATTTTTACAAGAGGTGTTTCGCTAAATTTTGTGCCTGCTTCACACCTTTTTATGAGAAATCGCATTACAATCGTTTCAAATTCAAAGTTGTAGTGGGATAGAAGGAAATTTATCACACTATATTGCTAAGTTATCCAGATCCAGATCCAGAAATTGTGCTACAATTATGAACCTAAATAATTATTTATTAGTTAATATTGTATGAAAATCTGTAAATAAATACGCAAAAGTTATAAAATTTTTACTTAGAAATTTTTTAAATTTTTTCATTTAGTTATTAACGGGTTAAAGGATCATTAAAAAAATACGTTTTGGTATACGTTATAACTCACGGTCTTGCCTCAGGAAATGGCTAAAAGTGTATCAGACCGTAAAATGAAGTAAAAAATATCGTTAACAACATATCCTTTCAAAAAATTATAATTAAATGTTGAATTAGTCCTAGTTTTCACGTTAATACGAGCAGTCAAAGAAAGCCAGAATTTTTTGTCGTTACGTCAAAGCGGTCTATTGTCTAATGGCGATGAGACAGACTGTGCGCGAATTGCTGCGTCACAAAGTTTCAAAAAATCACCGGATTTTGCCACTTTCCTTGCGAATAATTGCGGTTTTCCAATAAACGACGTTTCCATAACCAATTTGAGGAATTTATTCTGCAAGTGGTACGATATCAGCAAAAATAGTGCGATTCTTTTAAAGGGTGGTATTTGACGTTTGCTGTCAGCTCGTGTGCTAGTTGTTAATCAACGCATAGTTGTCTTTGTTTGTTAATCAACGCCTTTAAAAGAACCACCTTTAAATCAACTATGCGTTGATAAGCAAGACTATTTAGGATTTTTAGCGTTTTTGCCACTAAATCAATCGACCAGTTGCGAATTGAAAGAAGCAAATCTAACGGAGAGCTTCACTTTTGATTATGCCTACGGTTTTCCTAAGATTTTGTTTAAAACTTTAGATTGTAATCGTTTTGTATCATGCAGACCGTATTGTGTCCACGCAGTTAATTATAATATACAATCCGATAACAAACAATTATACAATTCAACTGGATAACACCCGGAAATTTTTCATGCCTTGCTTTTTCATTCATTTTTGGTTGCGAATGACCTCAGAAAAACCTTCTGAAACTTTGTACAGTACCCTACGCAACACCATGTACAGGGTGTCCCATAAGCACTGGTAAAAAATTTAATGAAAGATTTGTGTGCCAGAAATAATACGATTTAACTCCCCTCAGAAGAAAACTCAGTGGAAACAAAAATACAGGGGGTCAAAGTTATTTTTTTGCAGCTTGCATAATTGAAAATAGTGCAAAAGTAAAAATGTAAAAAAAGTGGGTTATTGAAATGTTAGAGGTCGAGGAATCGGTTCTAAAGTAACCATATACATATGTAGGAGCTTTGGAAGATGGGGGTATAAAATGTCTACAATCTTATCAATTCACTTGATTTTTAATCACTGACTATAAAAAACTGTACATTAAAAAGTGCGACAAATGAACTAATCATAGATGAATATTTACAAAATTACAGATAATTCCCAAATGAAGTAAAATTAAAAAATGATTGGATGAAACCACATTTGCTTAAATAGTACATTAGAAAAATCACTCGGTGGTGTATTTCGTTTTTAATAAATCAATTTAGCTCGTGTCAAAGTTCAGATTAATGGCTTTTCGTCTAAAGCAAATAGTTTGTATTTGTATTACAAACGCATAGATCAACTTCTTACAAAAAATGTTCAATTTAAGAGCCCTTAAAGTTAAGCGCTAGACTAAATACAAAAATAAATACTTTTATTAAAACTAAAAATATTTATAAAGTTGTTCTACTTACATTAGACGGTGCAAAAAAGGTTAGTAATTATATCTACAAAATGTTCAAGAACATGGTGATTCTTGGGTTACGGTTATGTAAAAAGCAATTGAACATCAAGGGGTTTTAGATGTTTTAATAGAAAGGCCCAAATGACGCTATAGGACTAAATCACGGTGTATAACGTTGACAGCCTGTTTACCTTCCTTAAGGCAATATGTTTGAAACTTCAAAGAACAAAACTACTATAGTTACTTAACATTTTGAACATATTGCAATGCCATTACATCTGAAATAATCGAACAAGTCAGACTTGCTCGAAGGCAGTTATTCCTTCTTCCTTCTGACGTTACAACCTAAGGTTAAAGTGTTCTATAGCATGCCATATCTACTAAAACTACTTCACATAAACAACATATTATCTATAATAATAGTTAAAAAGCTTCAGTTTCATAAACAACTACTTATTGTGTACTATACACCGAAATTTCCTGAGCAAGGTTAACATTGTTGACAACAACACTATTTTTTACACAACTAAGACAGTGTTTTTAAAACAGAAAGTCGGCTTATTCGAGCCTGTTGGCTTCATTTTTGATCAATTGATAATGAGCATTTTTCGTTCTCATGCAATTAATAATATTTACTAATTTTTTTTGTATGCAGGCTGAAATAATTAAGAACATTTAAAGGCTGTTACATCTAGAAGCGCAGTAGCGTTGTGTGATCATGTTGCCAATTAGTAATCTTGTAGTGACTAATTTACAGGGTGTTACAGAAATATTCAGGATTGGAACATGCAATTATTGAAGGATTTTGTATTCGAAATAACTGTTAGAGCAAGACAATACATAGGTGAAGACAGTTTTATCCTATTCTACTGATCATAATTATCTTTATTATGGTGTTATTCAAATAACTATTAGTCGTGAACTCGTAATAATATTACAAGTTATTACAACTTCCACAGGTGTTGGACGAACACAACTTAAAAAAAAAAGAGAAACACCTTTTTTATAGCAACTGAAGTAATGGTTAAAATATGGAATTTCCCACATTTAGCAAATATTATAAAGTAGTAATCTGCCGCAATACGACAGCGGTAAAAAAGTCCACAATAAATACGAAATTTAAAGCAACTTAAAGATCCTTAAAAATGCATCGTTAACCATATTTCTAAGGCTTCCTTATTTCATTAGAAACAATGAAAATGAAAAAAAACTTGCAGTAGTGCGCACACATATATAAAATCTATGTGCCTCTTATTAGAGGAGAGACGCTTGTAAATTTTTTCGAATACGTGATATCTATCCTTTAAATGTTCATAACTTATATTTAAATATGCCCTTTGTGTTACCTAAACACTGTGTCCAAGACAAGGAGCGAAATGATCGTATCGTACATTCCGAAAATTTTGTTAAATATTAGTTAGTATTTTAGACGTTTTTTCTTAATAATTTTTGCAACAGTATTTCCCGAAATAATTGTGAAACATATCCTGAACTCAAATTGATTCGATTTACTGACCGAACATTTCCGGACCTAAAATAAGAACGAAAATGCTATTAACTTTTAAAAAGAATTGGAGATTTTGTATTGAAGGAAAATTAACTCTAGAATATGCATAAAATACTTTAAAATATTACTACTAACTCTCCTTAACTTAAACACATTGCCTGTCACAGCTTTAAATCAAGTCTATGATTGTTATTAAGATATTTTAAATACCGAAGCTAATTGAAAAATTATTGGTCAAAAATGAAGCCACATCCAGATTTAAGACTGTAATCGGTGCTCTCTTTGCAATTTTTCTTTAATTTTTCCTAAATATAAATAACTTATAGACGTTGCTACCTCACAGCGACACACTAAATCGTTATATCTAATCAGTCTTCTTCTTTAAGCGACAGAAATTTTGCTAAAATTATTTCTTAAACGTAATTTTTGATATCTGGGATTTAATGTAAAGTTAATGATTGTAAAACGTGGAGACGATAAACGTATCGTTTTAAGCAGGGTTTGGTCAGTTAACTTGTGTTTTCTATTTTACCTGTTTTATCTGTTTAACCATTATTCATTTTTTACTGTAAACGCGGCCAGTGGTTGTATCCATTATACATTACCCGCTACCGTTGATGCACGGAGCTTTGAAATTGGCAAACAGGCTAAGTAAATGTGATAATTGCAATAAAAAAATGAATCCTAACAATCAGCTACTTTTGAAGCCCTTAATTAATGTCATGGTAATGCATAATGCAATATTTTGTACTTAATGAACTCTATGTAACCATTATTTATTCATTTCCACCAGAAAGACGAAGGTTATCTAATTTCTTTTTTTTTACCTTTATTAATCGACTAGTCCTACATCTAAAAATTATGATCCTCAAATGGAAGTAAATACATATAATAACATTATTCACTAATGTTTTCACGCAAAACCAATTACAGTCTTGAAAACTGTATTGAACTTTAACAACGACGACTAAACAGGTATGTTTGTAAAAACGCTTTAAGTAGTATACAATACTAACTTCAGGAATGGTTATTATTTAAGCAATTGCATTATTCCTAATTATTATAAATGTATTGCAGACCCAGGCGTTTTAGAATAGTATTTGTTGATCATTTTTATACTCGTCTTAGAGCTTATAATTCGCATCTAAATGTAAGCATATATTCGTAGGAATATATACAGAGCACATAGGAATCTAAATGCCACCTTTAGAAAATTAACTTACAATCATAATTCATAAATCGCACTAGAAGCTAAAGTTGCATGATGTCTTCCTTCAATTGGAGAATTAAGATAGTATATACAAAAAATATTTAAAAAAAATAAAAAAAATAAACTAAAAAAAATAGCACTATAGTTCGTACAAAGAAGCATGTACTAGGTACAATAGTCTTTTCTCAAAAGCAAATGGGAATTTTTACAAAAATACCTGCTCGGTTAGCTGCTAAATTATTAGACTTAATCGATTGTTTAATGCTACAATGTTAATTTTGAAACATGGAAACATGAAACACTTTTACAAGTAAAACACCTAAACGACACATCATTTCATGTTCGTTAATTTGAACTAATAAAGGTACGGCATTCTGTTAACGGTGACGGCTCGATTTAATTTAGATCACTGCAAAAAAATAAAGCAAAATGATAATTTTTTCCAAAACAGAGCCCCCTACAGCAACCAATAAATATAAATGAAACTGGTGAGTTTTTTTGACATGTAATCCGATGCTGTAATGTAATGCCAAAACGCCCGCGTTTGGCGAAAAAAAGTGCTGTTTTATCAGGACAATGCACGGGTGCACACATGTGTAGTCGCCATGGCAAAAATCCATGAATTGAAACTGCTACACCACCCAGCATATTCTCCAGATTTGACCCCTTGAGACTATTGTACTTGAGACAGATATTCCTGTTTTCAAACCTGAAGAAATATCTGGGCGGTAAGAGATTTGGGTCCAATGAAGCGGTCATCATTGAAACAAACGAATATTTTGAAGACTTCCAGAAATGATATTATTTGGAAGGGATAAAAAAAAATTGGAAAGATGGACTAAGTGTATCGAGCTAAAGGAAGATTTTTGGCCGAAAACAAGTTTTCATTCAAAAAGTGACTGACTTCACCGACAGAATACGAGAATCAAACGACTCTCGTAACATTTGAATTTGCCGTTCTAAACAACTCTGTATTTGTATAAAATTTGTATGGTCATTGAAAAACCGGTTAGGACTCTGTTTTAGGTTTTTAGGAATTTTACATAAAACGCAATATTTCAGCCTAAATTCAATGCCAGTGAATTTTTTTACCTCAGTTGCCGACCCCCCTGTGTAGACAATATTTTTGATGGTTTGAACAAGTTCCGACCTTTAATAGTACACACACTTTACCACGGTCAATTATATTTGGAGGCCATAAAACAATGAATTTATGAACTTACCTTTTGTAATGAAGTTTATGAGTGTGAATGTGGCTCAACCGGTAATAAATAGGAACTGCTTTGTGCCACTATGCTGTCGCCACATGCCGCATACCCATTGTGAAACATCATCTCCGGAATTTGGGCAAGCGAGTCTGTTAAGGCGTGTTCATCTAACAACATTGATTCAAATGAGATTTGAAGCTCTCCTTTTTGCCGCACTAATAGTCAATTGCCGATTTATTAAAGCACTGAATTACCTAAGAAAGAGTCGAGAAGTCCGTGCGATTGACTCAGCTTTTCCAAAGACTTCACGTCATTATCCACTGCGGCCAACGCCTTTTCCAGTTCTTCCGCCTCCTCTCTCGAAGGTTCATATTCCCCGTTTCGATTTACTATAAATACTCGCTGTTAATAACACTGCTTTCCCCCCCATTTAAAGACCGTGCAACGCTAGCTAATGACGATAAAAACTAACTACAAGGGATACTCGAATTTGTAACTACCTGCAAAGAAATCACTGAACTCATCCACCTGAATGGTGCTTAATACGTTGGTGATGTCGGTTTCTTCGAGCAAATGCGCTTGACTTACCAGCGCTTGCTCTAGGCCGTTTTCATTAAGGGCTAACACTTGGTCTACCATGTGAAGGTCTTCGAGTTCTGGTGAAGGTGTTGTCTCGATTTGTGTAACTAATTCTGATTGAATTGCGTTAGTGTTACCGAAAGTGAACCCATTACTGAAATTAAACTCTTACCATTTGAATTTGTATTAATCTCACTCATTATTGAACTCGAATTAGTGAGGGTTTCAGTTTGCTTGGGCGGCGGTGGTTTTCTTTTCTTCTTGTTGCGCTTTTGTGGTCTGATCATTGCCGAGGGTTTTACCTTTTTCCTGATCTTCTTTGGCTTGGCCTCCTGGTATAGTCTATAGTTATCCTGCGCAAACCAAGACATATTTCAAAATAGATTTGCAACTTCAGGGTGCACTTTGTTGTATTGTGATGAAGAACCAAAAGGAATGGGATTCAATTGCGAATCAACAAGGCAACATGCTCAGGGCTTAACTCATTCAGGCTTCAATTACCTGAATAATTCAATTCTGTCAAACTACTTCAGAAATCAAGCTGAATTCGACTAAAGTGAACACAACAAACCAATCTTCTTTGAGTCAAATTACCAAAAGTTATTTAATGGTTAATAAGATGAATCATCTATATATTCCTAGTATAGTCTATATTTTTCCTGAGAGCAAACCAAAACATATTTTGAATTAGATTTGCACCCTTAGGGTGAATTTTGTTATATTGTGATGAAGAACCAAAAAGAATGGGATTCAATTGCGAGTCAACAAGGCACCATGCTCAAGGCTTAACTTATAAGCTTCAATTAACTGAAAATTCAATTTTGAAAAACTACATAAGTAAGCAAGCTGAATTCGGCAATAATGAACATAACAAACCAAACCGTTATTTCACCAAAACTACCAACTGTTAGTTAAGTGGTTAATTAAAATTGGATGATCTAATTATCAAACTTTGATAAATGAGATGTTACAGTTTGAAGATGATTTAAAAGTAGGAAAAACTGGTCTTACTCGTTTTCGTGCGTGTTCAGCACATAAAGGGAGCTCGTGAGATATGTCAAACACCGGAAGGGAGCACTGAGTGTTATCGGCAAATTTAGCGGTGCAATAATCGAAGAGCACCTGCCTACTGTCGTACATGATGTGCACTGCACAGTACTTTGAAAATATCATTGATGGCTTTCCACATTCATTAACCTGCGAATATAAGTAGAAAAACGCATTTGTAGTCCAGTGTAGTTTCCAAAAAATCGTTTTGCTAGACTTTCAAAGTAAAACCACTTTGAATAAAACCTGATCTTACTTCGCACAGTTTTGGGGGAGGCACATTAACGTTGCCGTCTTTTCGCTTATTTAGTTTGGTCACAACTTTGTCCCGCCGCCTCTCAATCCAACTAGGCATTTTGTTCGGTTTACCAACGTTACTGCGTAGCATTTGCTGTAGCTTGCGTAGGAACTCGTGCCGTGTTATTTCAATTCGCTCCTCGCGAGATCTGTCTTCTAATTTCATTTTCTAAAATACCAGTATCATATAAAAAAACTTACAGAAACTATTAGAAATAATATATCTATTGCAAAACAATTATTTTAAAATAAATATGTTCATTGGTTGCTTATGATAACAAGCTCCTCCAGAGACTTATTCTATGGCCAAAACAAAAATTTCTGCAAAAAATAGCAGCCCATTTATTTTGTTACCTCTTCACGTTCCATTTTCTCTTACAAATCTTAACATTGTCAGTCATCTTCAAACAAACACCTAAAATGTTCCTATCCTTTGAATAATTGTTTTATATATGTATAACTAAAACCACTTTTAGGTTCTTTTAGCTGGAGGACGTTATACCAACACGCGTATAAAAAAACTAGGTTTAACTTCGATTTTTGAACATAGAGATTTTATCATCAGAATCCTTAATAACAAATCTGGTTTAACCAAGTCACAATGCTTTTATCTTGCCAGTCAAAAGGAAAACATCGGCTGATTCATAGAATGTGCCAAAGTAGATAACATTTATCTCCATTAATACCTTAGCTAATCATTAAGGTAATCACCAAAATCCACAAGAAAAAAGCTGTCCATAAGTAGTTTCAATAGTGAGTAACATAGTTTACCTCTAAACTAGGACTGAACCAATGCTGTTGGTAGTAATTGTATTCATCAGTCTCACTTTCTATCCGCTGCAATGTTTCATGATGTGTGGATTTGATTTCTTTTTTCACTTTTTGCTCCAAAACTAATGGTGGTTTGGGGGTACTTGAATCATTTAAACCTTGCAGGAAAATCACCATGAGTTTACAAACTAAATACGAGACAAATACAATGCACACCTATAATACTGTGGTTTGCTACTTTATCTTCAAAGACTTTTCCAAATGGGGGCTTTGTCACCTCGTTCGCTGTACTATTGCCATTGAAAGGCTTTGAATTGTGAAAGGTAATAGGCACAGTCCTCTGCCGCTCAATGCCTTTCTTGCTATTACTATATACATCTTTTCTATCTATTTTATTTACTAACTTATAAGTAGTATTGTTGTAATGTTTTGTTGTATTGTTGATAACTTTGCTGCCTACTGATGTTTCTTGAGGTGAGGAATATAAACCATTACACCTATAAATTGATTTGGTTCCAATGAATGTTATGATGTTCGGTAGACTGCTCTGAGGTGAAATTAGCATACCTTTGATTTCCTTTAATCGCTGAACTAAACATCTTACGTTACCTCAGCAGGATAAACTGATTTGGTACATGATAGATTAACTAATGTAAACAATGAGGTTGGAGTAAGTGTATATCACTTCCCAGCCACTATGTTGGTAATTTGTTGATTGATCTGCAATGATACCGAATTACTCCCGTTTTAAAACACTATGTTTAATTGAATTTACCATAATACGATAATAAGCTTATTTTAATAACACTTTATGTGACAGGTCATGTAAGGTTATGACCGATGAATACAGCAACTTGGAATGGGTAGAACGCACAGCACTTTCAAGGTACTAACTGCAATTACAACTTTGTACTTGAAACTCGGTTTCAAAAAATGAATTTCAGGTGTTATTTTCAAGTTTTTAGAAACTTCCTCAATGTTTATGTTTGACAGTGGCATTGACAAGTGACGGTACCCTTGTCTAATATTATACGCTGTAGCAAACTCACCACGTGTATGTTTTTACAGCAACCTTGGCAACATTGCACTTCTCTTGAGCATATTTTTTTAATGGTAAATTGTTCTAATTTTATGTTAAAGAATATTTATGATGCTTTGAAAGCTACATGTTAAAATCGTTAATTATAGATACCGAAACGTAGTAGTAAAGTATAATTGGACATTTAAACTAAATTGCATATTTTATGTGAGCCGCAACGAGACGAAGTGAATAAGGACTAGGTATTGAAACTGTACTTGCTAAAAAGTCTTAGTACAAAACAAAAATATTAGTTATTTCCAAACTGTATTTGTAAATACATTTTACTTATTATAAAATACACAAAAATACATAATAAATATACGATTTTATTATATAGTAATTAGTCCTGAAAATTATCAGTTTGAAGAAATAACAATAATATTAACTTTTTTATTTTCCGTTTCTGCTGTTCGTGTCATGAAAATTTCTTCCATATAAAATTTCAATTGTCTAAAAAATTCTGAAACAATGCTACTAATAAAAACTCAGATAGTTACGCTTGATTATGTGTAAAAAAAATTTCTCTCCGGCCGGGAATTGAACCTTTTTTTTTTCTTTTTTTAAAGATTTTTATTAATTTGCTTAGGTACACAGATTTTCATACAGGTTTAGGCGCAAACAAAACATAAAATAAAAGCCTATTAACTACAATTAAGGCAAACGCCTGGTTCCGTAGAACAACTCACGTTTT